CCCCCCAAACCCCAACCCTAACTTCTGCTTACAAAGCAACATTTTCCTAGCTGCCATCAGCTCTAAGGAAGGGTCACCGGACCTGAAATGTTAACTCTGATTTTTCTTCACAGATGCTGCCAGACCAGCTGAGGTTTTCCAGCAACTTCTGTTTTTGTCTCGGAATTACAGCATCCGCAGTTCTTTTGGTCTTGTTTAAATTGAAGCTTACTGTTTGGAAAGAAATGTGTGGAAAAGTAAACATGCTACAACTGTTTATACTTTTACTTGAGTTTTCACCTATACAGTTTATAAAACAGCAAAACAATAAAGAGCACTGAGCTGCTTCTACAATAAAACAGTAAACCACTCTGTGTTTGTGTTTTAAATCAAAGCCTTTGGATCAAAAAGTAATTTGATTTCATTTTGGTTGGTGCCATTTGAGCAGTATCCATGTGAGAGTTGACATGTTCAAGAGAGGACCAGAAAAAATTGAGGAAAGCTTTTCAATGCTGCTTTCAGATGCATGTAGTTAATTATGCTTGAGTGTTTATTTTGAGTGTAAATAGTCAATAATGATAGAATAGAACTATGAATGCAGCGCAGAGAGAGGCTATTTAACTTGTTTGTCTGAAAATGTGAAGAGAAAGTTACTTCCATTGATATTTCTTTTCTCACAAAGACTAAGTCACAGAGTTGTGTTCTGAACAGTTTTGACAAATATTTGTGTTGTGATTTCTGCATTCCTAATGTTTTTTCATTTGTTTGGAGATAGAGATGCCCTCTATGCTGCACATTAAATCATGGCCATGTTTTTTGTAATTATAAGTTTGGCCACTGAAGGCAGATGGGTGTTTTTTTTTTTTTGCCCCTATTTGCCTGTAGACAGTATATCTCGGAAAGCAAATGGACGAGTTTGAATGAAATTTGCTTCATGTTTAGGTATGTCCTCAGGAATAACTGATTAGATTTTGGTTAAGGTCAGATCTTGGAATTTTTTAAAACATTTGTTAACGTTGGCAAACAGGGTGAATTGATTTTTTTCTGTTTTCTATTTTTCTTTCATCTTTGGTTTATTTTATTTAGGATGTTGTTGATTTAGAATGTTGTGAATTGCCTTAACTGCTGTGTTGCAATTTTTCACAACCACCAAATTGTGAAGAGTATTTTCAGAGCTAATTTTTTTTTTGGATATGGATTGGCCTGAAGCCTCCTCAGCGAGTTAGAAGCTTTTAATAAAATTATTTTCCTTTTCATCTTTTATTATTACAAAGCATTAACCAGGCAGTGAAAAACATCATGGAAAAGTTACGCAATTGTATTAATGTTGAACAAATACAGCACGGCAGAGACCTACGTTACATTGAGTGCACTCTTCTCTTGTTTAACACATGATGCCAGTCAATGGAGTTGCAATGAGCCACTGTTTCAGAACCATGAACTAATGTGACTTTAGATTTTTTTACTGGCCACTTTCAAATGAACATATGGAAGTTATCCTCCCCTTCGATCAAAGTTTCAGATTTGTTTATAAACCTAATAGTGTGCTGGTAGGATGGTTTTACTTAATTTCAGAGTATAAATTTGACTTTCTTTTCAGAACACTCCTCTATCTGTTTATAGAGTTAATATTCTTAGAGTTTGGTATGTGCAATTTTTTTCAGGTATAGAAAGAAAATAACCTTTACACATCCATAGATATCCCTAATCAAACCAAGTGTTATCTTTACATTTATGAGTAGGGTTGTAATTTTTCTCAGCCATTTAAAAAGTTAGAAATCTTTTGCTTTTTGTAGTATGCAGTCAAATCAGGTATTAGAAGAAAGAAAGAATTGTATTTCAATGGCACTTTTGCAAATATGCTTTACAATGAAGTTGAACATTGAAATGTATTCACTGTTTTAATGTAGATAGCCATCTTGTTCCTATAACCAACAACGTGATAATCAGATAATCTGTTTTTGAGGTGTAGATTGGCCTGGTTACTGGGGTTAACCATCCTGCTCTTCTTAATAATGTCGTGGGATCTTTTGCATCCACCTGAGGGGCTTGAAGAGGCTGTGCTTTAGCATCTCATTTGAAAGATGGTACTTCTAACATTGTAGCTTTCCCACAGTATGTCTCTGGAGTATCTGTCTTGATTTTTGTGCTTGGTTCCAGACCACCAACTGAGCCACCACTGACACTGCATAAAATGATATGTTGTCTGAGTCTGTGTGTTATACATTTGTAGTTTCCTTTACATTTATTACAATGTTATCACAGATGAGTTAAATTGTCATTTCTGAGTATTCTTCATTTTTTTCAGGTTTCTCTGCTTAAAAAATAAAAACACTGCATCGCTGGTCTTCACAACTTACACAGAGAAGCATCCCTCCATAGAAAAGGGGCCTCCGTTTATACAGCCCTTGTTAAACTTTATTTGGTTCTTATTACTTGCTGTTGAGGGGTAAGTTTTGTTTCGCTATAAAAATTATTGGTGCTTTAAAATGCTAAAACTTATTCAGTGCCATAATTGTTGTGTTTTTGTTTCGCTGAAGGGGCAAGTTAACCGTTTTTACAGTGTTATGTGAACAGTATCAGCCATCTTTAAAAAGAGATCCAATGTACATTGAGGTGAGTTACCGTTCTCCTGCTGTATTTATTTAAGTGGGGTGGATTCAAGATTCACATTTTAAATTGTTCTCTTATGAAGTTTCTGGATGGAAATAGGAAAATTTAAACAATCTGAGCTATTCATAACTTTAAGAACACTTGCACCTGCAATCTTATAAGCCATACGGCAGAGTCACTTCAGAAAGTGCTGCTTTGAGAAGAAGAATAGTGAGGAAATAGTTTTGTGCATCATCAAGTAAATGATCAGTTTCAGATATTTATAAAATATATTCCTACTTCTCTTCACCACCCACCACCATCGATTTAATGTCATTTGTGACACCAAAAATGGAAGGATTCACCAATTTGTTCACCATCGTAAGGACTACAGTGTGTTGCTGAGTTCACCAACAAATTCAAGGGCAGTTTTTGGACAGTTTGCTTGCTTGCATGTGGTTTGAGTACTTTTGGGACTGATGTTCTTATCTCCTACTCAGGACTCATTCCCTCACAAATGGAAGTTCACCTCCTATGTAATGCCTGATGAGAAAAGAGAAAATCAGGCATCCCTGATCCTCCTCATACTGTTAGCTTTTTTATCCTTTAGTGAAATTATTACCATGTGTCATGTAATTTTCTTGCAGCCATGCAGCATTTTATTTTAGGTGGCACAGTGTGCTTCATAGAAGAACCTGAGAATTTATGATGATAATTTATCATGATCTCTTTATCAAAGAAACTTTACCTTACTCAACTACTGCTGTACTGTCAGGATATACCTCCATCCTTTCTCTCTCCAGAAATGCATCATTGTTTTAGAATTTCCAAACTAATATAATGCAGTGTAGTGCAAGGAGTGCTTCTAAATCACTGCATTGTGGATGGCAAGATCTTAAGTTTCTGTTTTTGAAATCTCAAGGTCAGTTACATTTACGCATCCTTTTTAATTCTCATCACTTGCAATAAATTTTCATTAATATTAATGCCATTTTTCATAATGTATTAGTAATAACATGCAGGTAATTAATAGAGGGATACTTGGGCCCACCTTTCACAAGTGTTTGCCATGATTAGCATTTAATTTCATAATGCAAAGGCCAAAATTAAGGGTATGTGATGGACACCCTTTGATGTTGTTCTGGAATTTCCAAAAGAGATGGCGAAGATATATGGGCAGAACAAAATTGTACTGGAATCCATTTAAATCTATTAGCTATTGCATTTTGTTAGGCATGGGGAAAGATCAAAAAACAGATTGCTTTTGTGATTTGGTGTTTTTAATTTTGCTGCCTCCAGTAATTACAGGCCAATACTCATCTAGCCTGACATGCAAGAGCTTATTTGTTTCTGGTCTTTCCCCATTTCAGCGTACCATTTTGTGGAGAATCTACTCTCAGTATGAATTTATGTATTTATGTTTGGTAGCAGAGAAACAACTGAAGAAAGTTGTTAGCTTACCCTGTAGCGCAAAGGTCGTCACAAACATTTTTACACAGCAAGTCATGATCTGGAATGTGCCTCCTGAAAGGGCAGTGGCAGTAGATTCATCAGTAACTTTCAAATGAAATTGGACGTACATCTGAAAAGGGAACATTTGTAGCACTGAAGAAAGCGGACGAGTGGAAATGAATAGCACTTTTGAAGAGTTGGCATAGGTACAACAGGCTGAAATCCACTTGCCGTTGCAAGTTATTTGAAATCCCAGAGCTGATAAAATTGAAAGTTGGACCGCAATATCAATGTAGGGAAAGACACAATGAAGAGGATTAGGAAGCCCTTATTTCCTCTCTCTCCCATTTCACACATTTCAGGCAGCAAAGGGAAGCAAATACCCATTTGCGTATGGAGAAGTCACACTATTTGAATGAGGACTATAAGGTGGTAAGTAAGTTTTAATACAACTAGAGCAAATTGATACATGGGAATTTTGAATGTATATCTGGTAGAAACTCCTTTTAGCCTGAAATCACTGCCCTAGCGCTGTCATTCTGCTAATTCAGTATTGTGGCCAAGACTAACTGTAAGAACACCATTGGGAAGATTTCTGTGCATTGTTTTTAAAATTTTCTCAGGCATTGGCCAAGGAGAAAGTCTTTCCCTACAGTTGAGCAATTGATAGATAAAGTCACTCATGAGTTAACTATATTAAATTTATTTTATTGATTTGTTACAACTTGCAATGACTTTAATAAAACATTTTCCTGAAGTGATTAATTTTTCTATTATTTGCCTTATGGTTTACACTTCCGTGCCTATAAGTTGATAAACTGACTGTAACTTTTTCATGACGTTATTTGAGTAAATAAATCAAGGGCAGTTGAAACTTAGGTTGCACAAGACTAATTTACATCACTTGACCTTTATTTTGTTATGACTAAATAAGGTAACTTCGTAATCATCTTGCCATATTCAACTATTCAGTCATGAGGAATTGTAGACGCAAGTGAAGCCACAAGGATAAATTACATTGAGTCTTCCAATGAGTTATGGAAAATGTGTTGGTGGGGGGGCACAGAGAGAGACAGTGGTGAATTAACTGAAGTTTAAAAACTGCTGGGCAGAGATTAAAAATGCCATTGAGACACAGAGTGGATGTGAAAAGCTTTAAACGTAGTTGCACATTAAGTTTGAATTATTATAGATGAGAGAGGTATGACATCCAGGGGGTCCTAAGGGTGGATTAATTTCATTACAATAAAAAAAAATTCACTGCCCCAAAAAACTGATGTGTGCCTTTCACTGCCCTTTTGTTGCAGCAATACATTATGCAACTTTCTTTGTATTCTTACAGCATATAAATTACAAACTCAACATGTTGATGACACTTCTGGATTACAATCCAATGAAAATTAGCTGCCAGTGAACACCGGCTGAAACGTCAATTCAACCTGCTAAATGATAATGTTTTTAGGTTAGGTTATCTATAACCATTTTGTTTTGAAGATTATTTCCAATAGACGAAAGCATAGAACTTTTAAAATGCATTGTTTTTATTTTCCTAATGTAATGCAATTATTTTTATTGTCCAAAGTTCCATACAGTGATGTGGGGGAAATCCTTGACACAGAATCAAAATGCGTACGTGAAAATTATATTTGTGTTAATAAGGATGTTACTTTAACCTTTGAGAGAGCATTACTATAATAGACTTGAGAGTGGGTTCATTTAAGAGAAGCTCATCTGTCTGAATAGTTCTCGATTGCTTCATGGTTTTTGTTTTCTTTCCTCGGTGTTCATCAGATTATGTCTTAAATTTTTAATTTTGGAATATTTTTAATTCTAGTATCTCGATCGAATAGGTCAGATCTTCTTCGGAGTTGCACCAAGACAGACATCCTCATATGGGGGCTTATTAGGTATGTTAAGCATGGAGCCATTTATAAATGTAATTCATTTCCTTAAGTGGTGTTTAGCCCAATTATTTTCAATATTTGTATGGACAACTACTACTTTAGTTACTAAAATGTAGGAAGTCACACAACACCAGGTTATAGTCCAACAGGTTTATTCGAAATCACAAGCTTTCAGAGCGCTGCTCCTTCGTCAGGTGAAGCGGCTTCATGAGGACTTTGTCCATCTCAGTACAACAGCGGCACGTCCACATCATGGCTACTAAAATGTAGACAGAGAAATTTAGGAAACAAATCATATCTGGATGCCTGTCAATAGGGGTACTCTGCCCAAAATTACAACTTGTTCATAAGATATAATTTCTGATTTTTGTGCTTATCAAGGTTTAAGACTATTACTATCTATTTGCATTTCAGGGAAGCACTTAGCATCAAACACCAACAGGTTAGATGGAGTTGAGCTGTAATCTGTTCCTAGAAGTTTAATCTCAGTACTGTACCAGTATGATTTATTTTTCTTTTTGTATCAGTCATTGTATGGCACTGTGTCCTGTGGATCATAAAGGGTTTGAGTTAACAATTCCATCCAATTAGGTTTTTATTCCTTTGAATGTAATAGTTCAAAGGATGATCTAATCAAGATTTTTAAAATGGTTAAAGGAATTTGATAAAGTTGACAGAATTGATTTTTTTTTTCTGGTGGCCAGCCTAAACAACAAAATACAAAATGCAAGGTTAAAATGAGAACTGGACCATTTACAGTTTAAATTAGGAAGCATTTTTATTCCATACATAAACTGAAAATCTCCGTTAGGGCTGTGGATGTTGAGTCAATTGAAATTTTTAAGGCTGACATCAATAGATTTTTTGTTAATAAAGATAAATGAGGTTCAGGTAAAGTTCAGCCATGATCTAATTGAATTGTGGAACAGGCTCAAGGGGCTGAAAGGACAATAATTGTTGCTGTGTTTGAGATTGAAGAGCCTACGAATGCCCAAATCTAGAGTGAACTGAAACAATTTTGAACAGCTGTAACTTATTATAGTCTCATGTAATTTTTAAAACTGATTTTTTTGTTCTTAGAACTGATGAGGTGGATATTTTTTCAGCCAGAAGGTATTGAATTTGTGGAACTCATTGCAATACAGGGCTGTGGAGGTCAAGTCATTGAATGTATTTAAGACGGAGATAAAAAGGCTCTTGATTAGTACAGGGATCAAGGGTTACAGGGAGAAGGCAAGAGAATGGGATTAAGAAACATGTATCAGCCGTGATCGAATGGTAGAGCAGACTTAATGGGCTGGATAGCCTTATTCTGGTCCTTGGTCTTACGGTTCTTGAGATGTGGATGATGCTGGAATGTCCATATTTATTGCCCATCTTAATTGCACCAAGCACATGATAATGGGCCTTGACTTGGTGCAGCCTTGTGGTGATAATGTTTCTACAAACATCTTAGCTCAGGAATATTAATGCAGCAAGGGTGAACAAACACTGCTAGTTCAAGTTCAAATCAACATTGTGAATAGTTCCAGGAGAAACATGAAAGTAGGTGATGGTGTTCCCAAAAACTTTTCTGAATAATCGAGATCTTTGCAAAGAGAAGTACTCTTGATGTAACATTGGTGACATGCAACATTGCAACCTACATGCAGTATACACTGCAGATACTGTGATAGAGGAATTGAACTATTGAGTCCATTGGCAGCAGCGCTGATGAAGAAAATGCCTGACTTACACTTTTTAGAAGGTAGAGAGTATCTTGAATTGATCAGGTTTAACTAACTATTGACTTAAAAATATTAAATGATGGAGTTGTGTTTCTGTTGAACTGTCACTTCTCAAGAATAAATAATCTTACCAATTTATCCTCAGCGCCATAAGTCAGGTTTTCATTTTTTTTTTGTCTTGTTGTCTGCGTTATTGCTATGTTAGAATACCCTTGATGTCGTACAGAGATCGGGGAGTGAATACCAGAGCTTGGAACCTAGGCAGCTGAAAACATGCCACCAGTGGAAAGTCAAATTAATTTTTGGGGTGCATAAGAGGCCAGAGGTGGAGAATTTAAGAGAATTGTAGGACTGGAGCCAATATAAGAGACGAGCACAGAAATGAATGTTAAGTGAAACTAAGTGCAAGATAGGATATGGACATCAGAGCTTTGAATGAGCTCAAGTTTATGAAGGGTGGAGGATGAGAGGAACAGCCAGCCAAGCATTGGAATAGTGAAGTGTAGAGTGGGTGAATGCTTGGAAAAGGATTTTATTAGTAGATAGTTTGAAACAGGTGTGATGAATGATAGCACTACGGTGGAAGTCAACAATCTTTGCCACCTATGAAGTTGCAAACCAGCTGATTCAGCATGGGACAGTGCCTCAGAAAAAGGGATAGAACTGGTAGTGAGGTGAAAAGTTAACTAAAAACTGGAATTAGAAGCTTACCCAATGGTGACCTCTCACCGCTGTCAATTGTAAAAACCCATCTGTTTCACTAATATCTTCTAAGGAAAGCTATCTGCTCTCTTTACATGGTCTGGCCTAAATCCAGACCACTCCAGACCCACAACAATGTGACTCTTGACTACCCTCTGAAATGGCCTATCAAGTTACACAGTTCCAGCGCAATTAGGAATGGATACTAAATGCTGGCCAGCCAGCAATGCTCACATCCCACGGATAAATTTTTGAAAAGCATCCATGGATTTTACCAGTGTGACCAGCACGATGTATCAGGCCTCTTATGGCTGCCAAGTGTAACACAGCATCTGTCATGTGTTTTTGCTTCAAAAATATACCACTTTATCAGTATATGAAGAAAAAGTATAGTGTTCTTATAGCTATCTCACATTGCACAGAGTCTACTGTTGTTTTGGTGAGAGGTTAGCAAGGGAGGAGTGGATAATCAAGGAATGGGTCTGGTCAGTGCACTATGACAAAACTTGAACGATTACTAAATGTAAGAATTATGCATGGTTTATCTTTCACCTGTAATGGACCAGCTCAGGAAAAATTGCATCCGTCAAATCTAAATGTTCAAAAGCATGGAGAAGAGAATCTCTGCCAAACTGAGGTTATTTGGATTGAAAGAGATTTTGGAGGACCAGCTAACTGCTTTGTACCAGTTTTGACACTGCTTTGAGTATGCACATTGTACAATATTAAACAAGACTGATGTATGACCATCTCTATTAACAAAGCTTTGCTTCTCTTTCAAGTGTTGTTTGGCAAATGAATGTCATTGCAAAGTTCAAGTTCCTTCACATCAATACTGATTTGGAAATTTATACACACACTTCGGAGAGTGTGAAGAACTCATTGCCAACAATAAAAGTATTCTAAAGCTGGAAAATTGGCGATATTTGTTTGATATAAGAGTTAAACATATCAGCATTTTTGATGTCATTTTGTTTATTACTTCTGCTTTCTCTTACCCTTTTTTATCTCAGAAAATTAATTAATTTGAATTTGATCTAGATAGAGATGTGATGGAATTAGCAAACAATGTAAATGATTTTCAGGTTAGGCAAAAACAAATATAATGAGTTTGAATAAAGATGAAGCATCACAGTATGCTTTTACTTTTATGCAAGAAAGTTTTTGAATAGACTGCAGGTTTGAGTTACCCTGTACTATGTGAAGATTATTGTCACTGGTTTAACAGTCACCTGTCTACAAGTGAAACATTGATGAGATATTGATCTAAGATTCTGTAGAATAATTTCTAAATAAAAAAAAGTTAGGTAGATGGGAGAGGGCTGACATTATTGGTAAGGGAACTTCTGTTGGAAGAAAACAACAGCAAGGAGAAAGATGGAATAATTTCTTATTGCAATGGAAACAAAATGACTGACTTTTGATTCAGTTTGTGATAGGCAGATGAGTTTGCTAGTATTAGCACAAAGCAACAATATGTGAAATTGTGATGGGACATCATTGTTCAACACTTCTTCCCTCAGTCAAATGGCTATTGAAGAATGCTGATTAGTGAAGTTCTATTTCACAGGTGGAAGAGGAAAGCTGCCTACTGGTTACTCATGACATTTCAATAGACTGAATTCAGAGATATATTAGCAAATAACTGGTGCCAGGAAAGTAGTCATTTTTTGCTCTGTTATTGAAAAAGATTTTAGATTAAATTAATTGGTCTGATGTAATGCTCTGATCTTTGATAAAAAGGGCAGAAAAGATTTAGGTGATTGTTAACTAGCCACTGAAAATATTCAGCTAATGCAACACTTATTATCAAAACTAAATTAGTACTAGAATATATCTTGGGGAATCTGATTCTGTTAGAAAAAGGTTACTTCCATTGAGTATAACCCTTTAGCAAGACTTTTGAATTTTAAATAGCGTTTCAGTGTACGATCTTCAAAGGAAACTAAGAATATTGGTAAGGTTCCAAGAGACTTTAAGAATGATTCCAGTACTTAAAACTCTTAAGTAATGACTAGCTGACAGAATCAAATATTTTATAGATTAAAGATTAAGCTAGGTTATGATCCATTCTTTAAACACAGAAAGATGTCTGAAGTATATTCTGACAGAAATATAGAATCCCTACAGAGTGGAAAGAGGCCATTCAGCCCATTAAATTCTACTGACCCTCAGAAGTGCGTCCCACTCAAACCCAGCCTTTACCCTGTCTCTGTAACACTGCATTTACCATGGTTAATCCACCTAGCCTGCACACCTTTGGACTGTGGGAGGAAACTGGGGCACATGGCAGAAACCATGCAGACCGCTGTGTCACCATGCCGTCCAAAACATAGACCATGTTTGATTGGATGGCTAGTAGTTGTATTGTGACCCTCTAAACAGGGTCAGATGGAATAATAAAAGCCTTAGATTTTGAAAAGCTTTAAGGAATAAGATACCAATAGCCAGTTAGAATTCTGCTGAATGGCGTAAGAAGTTACTCTGGCAATCTTAGATATTATTAATCAACCTATTTAATAACATTATTAAACACTTCCAGAGTAGGTGGGATTTCAGCTCAGGTTGCCTGGCTCAGAGGTGAGAATCAATGGCACTGCACCACAGTATTTTTTTTAAATCAGCCTATTCTGATATGTTATAATACATCTCTGGGAGAGGCGGGACTTGAACTTGGGTCTCCTGGCCTAGAGGCAGGGACACCATGACAGTACTACATTAACCCACTGTTGAATGATCAGTTTTACAAAGAGCCTCAGAGATATATATAAGATTTAATTTGAAAGCAAAACTTCCATGGTAATCAATACTGGGAATTAAAGTGAAGGGCGTGGTCATCACCGATGTAGATAGTTTCATCATAGATTGTACATGTTTTCTAAGATGAATTTAACCATGTTGAATAGACTTCCAGCTATTCCATTGGTCCCAGTAAAGAGAGTGACAGTGCAACCTCTATTGAACTGATTAAATATGGTTTGTGATTCTACCAGGAAATACATTTTAACACTCTAGAAAAGGATTCCCCTCCCATTGCAAATGTTTTGCGTCCCTTCCTAATCAGTCTGCCTGAGATTGCAAAAGCTTGCTCTTTAAGGACACACAATTACAGTCTGGATTTTGTCAGGGCAGCAATGGCTCTATTGAAGAACTAGAAAACTAGAGGCAAGCTCACCCCAGTCATTTGGGGTAACCCTGACCACACTGTGTGGCAGCCAAGCTGTTGGGGCACTTAACCTTTTGTGAGGGACAAAAGCCTGTCTACAAGAACTAATGCCCAATCAGGGGGCCGTCAGCTCTTCAGCCCCGGGAACATCACTACTACAATCTCATTCAGCTCAAAGAAGCAACACAGATTGCAGCCCTTGGAAGATTAGTGTTGGCAAGATACCTGGGCCCTGGAATATTCAGCCTCTCATTCTTTGCCATCAAGAAGAGTTGTGACTGCAACGCAGATTGTTACATTATCATCATCGGTGGGAGGGCATGATTATAAAATGACAAATTCCCACAGGCAGTTCCTATAATAATTTTTGGAGATGAAAATTTATAATGAAAAATATTGATGCCAGAAATGCAGATATAAGATTTTCAACAGATTATAGACACTTCGAATAATATAACCTCTGAACCATCTGAATTTTATGCAGTTTTATACAGTTTTGGTCTTCATCCAAAGGGAAATGACCGTTACCAAAGTCGAGACAAAAGCATTACATTTTCTCTGCAGTGTACTGAATTTTTTATAGTCTTTAAATTCCTTTGGCAGGTAACCTTTTGAACAGTCTGATGGGTACAGGAGAGGAAGATGAAGTGGATGGAGAAGGACCGGAAGATGTCAATCCCATTGACCTTGACTAAGAAGAAAATTAACTTTCTGATCTAAAGGTCTAGAGACAATATTCCACTGAGGTGTCTAATGAATGATCTGCTTATACAAGAAATAGAAACAGCTATACCGTGGGACATTTTATATGACAGTTTCACAGCTGAGCATCTGCAAAGGGCTGTCTTTCCCTTTCTACTGAAGGAGGTGCAACAAATAATTTCCTATTACTGTCTCTATTGGAAATGCTGTATTATTTATGTTCAGTAGATATTTCATGATTTAAAGAACTGGTTCCAATTGGCTGTGTGTTGACTGATGTAAAGTTTTTGTCTTTCTAGATTATTTTACATAAGATTTAAATACTTTACAGCTTTGTACTCAGACACTGGTACATTGGCACTACACATAGGTAGTCTCAGCTATGATGTAAAACCACTAAGCAAATTCTGCCAAGAAGAATTGAGACATCTCAACTTGCTAAAACTAGCTCTTGTTTAACACATCAGAGTGGTTGTCAATAGGAACAAAAGAAAAGCTGTAGGGATCAGCAGCACTTGATTTAACCTACACAATTGGTGTAGCTTTTGCGCACAGATAACAAAGGATCATGCACAAAAATGGGCTTAATTATTTCTGAACCAATAAACAACATTAAAGAAGATTGTTGTTACCTTGACTTTATTTGAGGTGGTAAATTATATTCTAAGTAAATTCATACAGCTGCTACAAAATATTGTAAATACATTTGGACAGGTTCTGCATGTTTCACGTTTGCATGCAAGAAACTGACTTTAAACATTGACGTTTCAAGTGCTAAAACATGTTTAAGAAATTTTGCACAATGTGCTCCTTAATCAGGAACTTGATTTGTCTTGTGAAATTCAAGTACCTGATTAGATTGGAGCCAGTAACATACAAAATTTAAGAATAATTGTACATTATGCTTTATAGATCTGATAACCATATTGAGCGTTTTTTCACCAAGCACTATCTGTAACTCATGTATATGAAATGTTCAGAAAGGTTAAATCCTAAAGGGATTAACTAGCAGCAATTTAAACAGCAGAATTGATTCCTTCCTTTAGTGATATTTTTGTGCAGAAGGGTTGCACTGTTGCTTTTTTAATGTTTGTATTTATCATTAAAGAAAAATAATTAGTCTCTTTGTTTGATACAAAGTCAGAACTGCCTCAAGGTGGAATGTTTACTTTTGTTTAAACACGAGAAAACTCAACTGCGGTTAAGTATTCACATAGGATATTGATGTTCAAATCATAGGGCTCTCCGTAGTATATTGTACATAAAGTAAGGATGTATGATATTTTCAAGATTGTTGCACTTTGCTTTTATTTAAATTAACCATTTCACAAATCATATCTTTCAAAATGCCGAAAGAAAAGGGCTTTGTTAAAATGTATGATCAGCGTAGAATTAATATGTTAGAGGCATGCAGATCCAGTCTAGCTAGCTTCCACAGAAGCAGTTTCTGTCTGACGTTTCCATTATGTTCTTATTAAAAGGCTGTTCTTTGCCAGCACTGTCATCACACCTAGATTTTTTTCTGCAAAGATTCAGTAGAAGAGATTAGCATTTGTTTTCCATATACCATATATACTCGTGTAAAAGTCAAATTTTTGAGACCGCATTTTTAGGCCAAAAGTCATGGGGTGGACAGATAATGTATTTGAAGCATTGAGATATGATTGGTTTTAGCCAAAGTAAAATCCAAAATAGACTGCTACAATGGAATAAAGCAAAAGCTAACAACACTAAAGAATTTATATTAATTGCCTAATAATCTGATCACTTTCATAATTTAAATAAAAACAATACTTAAATCTGTAAATGTTTTAATCATTTATTTGCCAGTGCACTTTCATTATATCTGTATGCTTGCAATTAAGTAGAATCATTAACATTACTTTGGTTCTGAAATGTTTGGGCTTTGATCAGTGAAGAGCCAGGATCAATATATTTTTGTTCGCACAAGCATGTGAAAAATGACTTTTTTAAGGCCATACATGGGGTCACCTTTTACATGATTGACTTTTATGGGGATATATATGGTAGACACACCTTCAGTATATAGAAATGCTTTTAATGCGATTTTTCAACTGAACCTGCATGATTTTGCAATTTATAGAGTTGTCTGTTTGCATATTATAGGAATACAGGGAGAACTAGCCATTTGGATACAGAACTGGCATGAAGGTAGGAGATGAAGGATGGTGGTGGAGGGTTGCTTTTCAGACTGAAAACCTGTGACCGGCAGTATGCCACAAGGATTGGTGATGTGTCTACTGCATTTTACCATTTATATAAATGATTTGGATGTGAATAAAGGAGATATGGTTTGTAAATTTGCAGTTGACATCAAAATTGGTGGTATAATGGACGGCGAAGAAGGTTACCTCAGATTACAATGGGATCTTGATCAGATGGGCCAATGGGCTGAGGAGTGGCAGATGGAGTTTAATTTAGACAAATGTGAGGTGCTGCATTTTGGAAAGGCAAATCAGGGCAGGACTTATACACTTAATGGTAAGGTCCTGGAGGATGGTGCTGAACAGCGAGACCTTGGAGTGCAGATTCATAGTTCCTTGAAAGTGAAGTCACAGCTAGATAGGGTCATGAAGAAGGTATTTGGTATACTTGCCTTTATTGGTCAGTGCATTGAGTGTAGGAGTTGGGAAGTCACGTTGCGGCTGTGCAGGATATTGGTTAGGCCATTTTTGGAGTACTGCATTCAGTTCTTTTCTCCTTGCTATAGGAACGATATTGTGAAACTTGAAAGGGTTCAGAAAAGATTTACAAGGATGTTGCCATGCTTGGAGGGTTCAGAAAAGATTTACAAGGATGTTGCCATGCTTGGAGAGTTTGTGCTATAGGGAGGGGCTGGAGCTATTTTCCCTGGAGCATCGGAGGCTGAGGGGTTACCTTCTAGAAGTTTATAAAATCATGAGGGGCATGGACGGGATCAGTAACCAAGGTCTTTTCCCCCAGGGTAGGGGAGTCCAAAACTAGAGGGCATAGACTTAAGGTGAAAGAGGAAAGATTTAAAAGGGCAACTTTTTCACACAGAGGGTGGTGTGTAAATGGAATGAGCTGCCAGAGGAAGTGGGGGAGGCGGGTACAATTACAAGATTTAAAAGCCATCTGGATGGGTATATGAATACGAAAGGTTTAGGGAGATATGGGCTAAATGCTGGCAAATGGGACTAGATTAATTTAGGATATCTACTCAGCGTGGACAAATTGGACTGCAGGGTTTGTTGACAGGCTGTACAGTTCTGACTTTATATTTATCTCTTTATTAAATCACCGACTAGCCTTGATATTGCTCTAAAACCCAGATCAGTTCTAAACTGGAAGATGCAGCAGCCTTTGGGCTACAGACCAACCACTTGCTATACCATCCCAATGTACTGTCAATCGCAGCCAGCCGCACCAACAAATATCACCTGCAACATGCTGTCAGGTTGAGGCTGGGGCTTATAGTTCAACAAGTCCCTAGATTCTTCATTATTTCTGGGTCGTTTTTAGTATGTTCTTCTTTGAAGTTAACTGCTAGCATACTCAATCTCATTCTTACCAATCTGCCAGCTGCAGATGTATCTGCCATGACAGTATGAGTGAAGTCCTGCCTTCACATTGAGAATACCCTTCATTGTGTTTGTGGCACTATTACCATGCTAAGTGGGACAGACTTGAAACAGATTTGGCAACTCTGGACTGGGCATCCATTAGGTACTGTGGGCCATCAACAGCAGCAGAATTGTACTCCAGCATAATTTGCAACCTCATGGCTTGGCATATCCCCCACTCAACCATTACCATCAAGCCAGCACATCTGGTACAACGGAGAGTGCAGGACGGCATGCCAGGAATATCAACAGGCATGCCTAAAATGAGATGTGAAGCTAAAAAACAGGACAACTTGCATGCCAAACAATATAAACAGCTTGAGGTGTGCCTTAGTTTCTAACTAGAGGTGGATTACATAATAAAATTAATTTCATGCTGATAATTTGCACTTCAACTTCATTACTTTCCCTTTTATTATTTCATGATTTGTGTATTCCTGGTAAAGCTAGTATTT